TAATAATAATAATAATAATAAGTCTCTTCTTAAAAACTTCCAGTGTTGGATCATTCACCACTTCTGGAGGCAGGTTGTTCCACTGGTTAATTGTTCTAACTGTCAGGAAGTTTCTCCTTAGTTCTAGGTTGTTTCTCTCCTTGATCAGTTTCCACCCATTGCTTCTCGTCCTGCCTTCAGGCGCCTTGGAGAATAGCTTGACTCCCTCTTCTTTGTGGCAGCCCCTGAGTCCAGGACACTCTTCTATTCCTCTACAATGGCTCACTCAATTCGTTCTACAAGAAGCCTTAGTACTGATGGTACCCATGAGATATTTCCAATGCTCAAAATGTGTATTGAAATGTATTAATGCATTAAGTGATTCCCCACAGTGATAGACTTGAGATCGCTGAGCCATTTAGGCACACATATGAAGAGAAAGGCAGGCTTTAGTTTTGAGTCATGTTGATGGTTGCAGACTTCCACAAGAATGCATTTAAAAAGCGGTCACAGTTACCCATAATTGCAGAATTTGGGAGGTTTGTTTCTTTTTAGTGCATATGCTCTCCGTCTCTCTGACGTATTGAATGGTTCTCTCCTAAGACCGCTGTGGTTTTAGAGACCATTCCTTAATAAACTGGTCTCAGTAATAATCGGTTTGCTCTTGCCAGGTTGCATACGCAGCCGCTGTAACTGGACCACAAGCTCTTAAGTTTAAAACTACAAGGCTACTCCGAACGTCTCAGTGTATAAATGAGTAATTTGTCTGGTTAGAAATACAGCATACCAAGGTCAAGAAAGACTGAAGATCGGTCTAAATGGTCTACTGAATACTAGCTCCTAGTTAGTTGACTGACAGTTCACCAATCAGGATGTTTATTGATTTTCCCTTGAAAACATATGGCATTTTCATTATTCCATCTACTTTAAAAAATGACATCATTCCAATGAAATGAAAAAGAAGTGATTTTTGTTGTTCAAAAACAAAATGTAAAAGGAGATATTCATGTCTCCTTTTGATTGACTCAATTTATCTATCAAAACTTGCTTGAAACAAAACTAAGAAACCAAAAAAAAGAATATTTGAGTAGTTCTCAGCTTGCACACCAGCATCGTTAACTATCCCTTGACTATCTTTGTCAATGGACACGTAAAAAAACAGAATTGCCCCAGTTTTTAGCTATAATTATTTGATTGCAAAAAAAGGAATTTATAGATTTTCCACATATTACAAAAAAGTCCAGTTGCCTTTTAGCAAAAGCACCTTTGGAACAACTATGACCTGGATAAGAATCTCCATAGACATCCCACATATTACAGTTGCTCAAATTTTAAAGTATAAACTGAAGGTGGATTTTTTTTCAAGCAACTTATTTGACTCATACATTAATGTGTTTAAGCATCAGTGCTGTCACAGCATCTCTTGAAATAGCTCTCCTACTAAGCCTGCATTTCCTAAACCGAGCATTAATTGCATTTTCCAAAGCCAACCAATATCTCTTGTAAACCAAATCATTTTAGAAAATGCAAACTTAAATATCCTCAACACAACTCTACCGATGCTAAAATCATTCCAGAGTATTCTAGGAGTATTCAGCATGGAAGCTGTGTAATTTGGATTAATGTCATGGAAACACTGATGTATTTATTTAACAAATTCAAATCATAGCTTTTCTATAATATGTGGTGAACTTTTAGTCTTCAGAAGTCTAACACATGATTTTGTGGGTTTATGCTAAGTAACGTAAGTAATATCTCCCCATCCTGAGATACTCCACACTTCTCATCTGAGACTCTGTCCACTTAACGATCTGCAAGATTGCTTAACAACTGTAACAGGGAATGCCAGTCCTCAAGTGAAGCAGTCAGTGAAATCTTGCTTAATGACTGCTTTGCTCAAACACCAAGATTTCGTGGCTGTAAGTCAAGGACCACCTGCATAGCAATATAAAACCTGTCTTCATTACTGTTACTTTGGCATAGTTATAATCAGATGATGTTAAAAGACACTATAAACAATTAGTATGGAAATGACAGTTACAAAGAAGTTAAAGCAGCAATTCTTGTCATGTTAATTCTTCACTGTTCACTGGTTAAAGCATAAAAATGATAATGAAGGCAAAACAGAAACAAAAACAATCAGGCCAATGACAATATTTCATATGTCTATTCAAAACCAAATTCCACTGATTACAACCTAAGTTTTTATATTACCACTCACTTTTGGAGGAATTCCTCTACACCACATATTTTGAGAACAAAATCATCCACATCAATGTCACATAATTCATCGTGAGTGTAACACAAGGTCTGGTATATGAGTAAGTCCACTGTGGAGGAACCTGCAAGGATAGGTAAGAGGGAGGAAAGGAAAGAGCAGTCAGCATAATGATTTCCAAGGCAAAAATTCCATGGAATTCCTCATATCTATCATCCCCTTTTAGACATAATTATTCCACTTGTTTCATTTATTCTGGCATCAGTGAAGAATTCATGCCATTTCCATCATCGGAATGCAAACTGACACCAATAAACCATATAAAAAAGATTAAATAAATCTGTCCTTGAGTCAGCCATGGTTACTTATCTATGCTTTCTTGGCAATATTATGGAAATAAGTTCCTGTTCTTCTTCTAACCAACAGCCTAGAATTTCCAGGTGGCTCTCAATCCAAATACTAACCAGGACTAACCTGGCTTGTTTAGATCAACCAAGATCAGCTAGATGCTACTGCTTACCAAAGCAACAAAGCATCTATTCCTTCAAACTGATGTAGTATCCAACTAAAGATACTACCTACATTTATTTTATATTCTTTTTAGTGGAGTCATGATTGTAGTCAAACGATCAGAGTATCCAAGACAATAAAAAGTATAAATTCTAAAAAGTAGAATAATAAAAAAAATAAATTTTATGTAGTTTTCTGTAGAGATAGTTATTCTAGTATATGTCAGAGATTTCAGACTTTAGTTCCCATTATTTGTGGCTGTTGTGCTGTATGCTAATTACAGAAGTTATAATTGTAGGTGCGCATGGTATGGACAACAGGAGATAAGTGATGAATGGTTATAATTCATTATATCTAAATAGCGTCATTTTGGGAGAGCCTGGAATAAATCTTCAAAGTATAAATTAGGATCTTACAAAAGGTCACAGACTTAAAAAAACCGATTTCAGAAGTTAAATTACATTTTTTCAAAAAAAAATAATAATAAAGGAAAAGAGGAAGAGGGGTAGTTTGATGAGGCAAGAGACACCAAATAGTCAAATCTGTCCAATTTATAAACATAAGTATTCTATGCTAGTTTGACACGTAATTGAAAGCTGGAAATTTTGGCATAGTCCTAACAACAATTTCCCTCTGGCAAAAAACAAAAAAACCTCAGTGTTCCCAGAAGATAAGACATGAATCATAAACTAACATGTCTGCAGAATAAAAATATCCTAAGAAATTCAGAAAGAAAATAAAATACATTTACATTATGAAATGGAAATGGATCCCATTTCATCAGATGTACAGTAATTCAATTAGTAATCTTGCCTTAAAAAGATGAAAATTATCGCCCTTGAAAAGTCTGAAATATATGGATCACCAAAGAACAAAGAATCGCATTTCAAGTAGAACTAGTTTTATTGGAAAACATGGCTTTTAATATTTAGAGAATGGCTAATTAGTTTATTGAGTTAAAAAGGAAAAAGTATTAGTGCAGGACTAAGTCAGAGATTCATCCAACTACATATCCTCCCAATAAAATATATAGTGTACTATCCAGTGTGCAAGAATCAGAGTAAATGTCTCTCCATACAGCCCACTAATGCTATCAGGCCAAAATCTCCAAATGAATGAATTAGGAAAGCCAAATAATAACTTATAAAAACATTAGATAGACTTTTGGGTTATTGAAAAGGAAAATAATATCTGTTGTAAAAATCTACCCTCAGCAATTTCAAATTAAATACTATAATAGTATCAGTACGTAAAGTATATTTTAATGTGCAGATACTTTGTAATTAACAGAAAAACTGGGTTTTTTTTAGCTTAACCAGATCAATCTAAAGTAATTGTACAAGTCCTGACTTCATTAAACAAAAGAATAATATAAATAAATACAAATATGTTGAAGCATGGCAAAGGCATGATTCATGATACATACATTCATGTTCACTACTGGGACAGATTGAAGAAAATTCCTACTAGAAGCCAAAAACTTACAATCACAAGTGAATGTGAGAGGTTCTTGTAGGCTATCATAAACTACGGTCACCTTCAAGCTAACCCCATGGCCAAGATGTTCAGGGCTTAGATTGACAGTGCTCCAGACATAACCTGTGAGGGAGTAATCCTTGGTACCAAAGCCAGATCTCAATCTGTGGACAAGACGAAATGGGTACAATTAGTATATATACTACTATAATGAATATAACTATGTGCAATGCTGATAGGCTTTTGTGTGGTTTTTTATCATTTTAAAATATCTGCATTTAATTTTCTCATTTGTTCCACATTTTTAATTCAAGCCATGATATTAAGACTTTGCTAAATTGGGCTTTCACATTTGTTCATTTCATCTTTTCTAAGATACTATATATTTGTGTTAACACCCAGTCTGAGATTCCCATCTAAATGCACCATACATTTCCAATGCACCATGGAATCACATAAATGTGTTTATGGCCTGGAAATGGGTTAGTCCTTAAACACTGAAATTATGTGACCAAAATATTGGGACAATATTCTTATTTCCACAAACACTCAATTGAGGATCCCCAGAGAGCACCTCCATTGCTTAGTGCTAATGTAGACTCTGTTGGTGCTAATTTAGACAAGGTGTTAGTTTTAAACATGCTGAAAAAGAATGACAAACACCATGGAGAGAAAAATGGTTACATTTTGCAAAAGGATAGCAAAACAGAAAGATTTTCATGCAGGTAGAGCAAGTGTCTATCAAAGATATTAGCTTGACTTCCTTCTGAAAACAGTGTCTCCCTTAGACTAAAACCACAGAATGAAGCTGCACCAGATTGAACTATTATGGTAACACACTTAATTTTACTTGTGACATTCCTCAGTTCCTTGATTTAAAAAGTATGCACAAATGCCTTCTCTCCTCTATCACTCCTACATGACTGAGAATTATGGCAGGAATCAGAATCTTCCCTAGGTTCATCCAATCACTTGCAGGTTAAGACACTGCTCAGTGAAGCAGTTGCTTAAATACAAAGCAACATAATCTTTAAACCAAAAGCATGTTTTTTTTCCCCTAAGCATCAAGAATTAAGCAATAAATTGGTCTACATGGTTAGGTCATTGGTTACATGGACAGACAGAGAAAATCACACACAAGCATAATTTGATTGCAGAAGAAATGTTAGGCAGAGAAAAGCCAAGGAAAGGCACTATGCAGCGTTATTTTCTATCATAGGCTGGTACTCACACATCAAGCATATGGCAGAATGCAGCAACCTCTTCATCTTTCTCCTCAGACACCTCAAATAGTTCATAACCATTGGACACAGGATAATGCCGAGAAGTGCCCTGATTCCAAAAGTGGATGGGGAGTGGAGAGAAATAAATGAAACACCACCATCAATGAATTAAAATTTTGAGTATGTATCTCTCACCCCATGTGCATCTAAAGCATTTTTTTTAGATAGCAGTTAAAGATATACCAAGGAATGTGGCAGGAGCAACTTTTGGCTTTGTTTTATATATAACATAAACACAATTATTTCCCTTTATCTTAACAAAGGTCTTATTAGGCTATAAAAGTGTTTGCCATTTTTTTTTCTGGCTTACAAATTGTGAGGACCAGAGAACTACTATGGACTGGTCCAATATATAGTCAGGGAATGACTTGACCTTAGGCTTTATTATTTATTTATTTATTTTTATCCAGCCTTTATTATTTTTATAAATAGCTGAAGGCAGTAGACATACTTAATACTCCTTCCTCATCCTATTTCCCCACAACAATAATTGTGTGAGGTGGATTGGGTTGAGAGAGTGTGACTGGCCCAAAGTCACTCACCCAGCTTATAATATATCTGTAGCAAAACTGAAGATATAGAAGGTTTACATTTGTAATGAATTGTAAGTGCACTGTTTTGTTTTTTTCATTAATGACTACTGCAGAAATAAGATTTTACTATTTACTCAACATCAGGGGTGTCAAACTGCCGGCCTGCACGCCGGATGCATCATGGCGAAACCACGCCTACCCCATTGTTGGCAATGGAAAAAAAGTCGCGATACGTCATGACATGTCACGTGACGTTGCGAGTTTGACACCCCTGCTCTACATGGTATAAGGCTTGAATTTCAACTCAAAATTCTCTTTCAGATATATGTTGGCTGAGAATTGTTGCAGATACATATACAAGTTCTGTTCTTCAGTCTGCAATTACTTCTGAATAAACATACCATGATTGTTTTTTATAGATTAAATAAAGATTGCACATGATATCCAGCATAGGTATTACCTTTGCATTTTCAGACTCCTTCCAGATATATACGTGGTGGGGCAGAGTATACTGTGTAACTTTTAAACTAAAAAAAAAAAAAAAAAAACCTTCCCAAACCTCATAATACTGTAACTAAAAGCCCAGCCAAGCAGAAAAATGGTTAAAGAAGGATTCTCAAAATGTTTCATTTTGTTCCTCGTTCCCAAATGTCACAATTGGATGAGAGGGAAGTAGGGATAGAAACACTTTGAATGCCAAGCTCAACCAAATGGAATGCACACATGGACCCATTCACTTCTTCAAATAAAACAAAAGATCCACTGTCAGAGCAATTAACCCATTAAATAGACAGAGAAATGTGGGGAGGTGGGCACAGAACACAATAGGCATTCATGGCAGTCTTAATGTTCTTTTGCAATTACTTTCTGGCACATCAAAATTAGAGAATGACTTACGTGATCTTTGCAAGCTTCTGCCATTTTTAGATGCACAGAAAGTTAATCCCCAAAAGTTTAGAGAAGTTGTTTGTATTTATATCCTTTATGTTTCAGAGGTATTTTTCATTTTATATTCAAAAATATGACACTGTCCACTCACGATCCCAGATGAACTGGTAAAAATACTTCCCATGACTCATGGCTAAAGAATTTTTTTTCCTATTCCTCAGAATGCTGCTGTAACATACTTATTAAAAGTAGTGAAAAGAAAAGGCTGGCATATATTGTACACAGTATTCCTGATACTTGTGTGCTAATACGGTAGCAATTTAAATACATTCTATTTCTAAAATATCAGACTGTTACGTATGTTCTGTAGTTTTGGAAATAGTAAACAGCCAGGACAGACTCCTCTTTTGACGGCATTTTAACTGGACACTGCCTTTCCTCAGAGTGCCACTGTGTGGATCATATAAATAGGTTCACTGACATATATGGTCCTTCCCTTCCAAGGGAAACAGTTAAGGCCACTGACATATATTATGTCAAGCTTTGGTGCAGCCAAACATACAAGTGGGAAATGAATTCCAGAGCCAACATTTAGACTGGAATAAGGAACTTAAATTATTGTTTCAGTAGGGTCCTGGTGAACTACCTTGTATGGATCTACAGGGCAATTTTGTCTATTTTCAATTGTTTATTCTAGATTGCCAAATGTTGGAGCTGGAAGAGAGTCTCTTTAATTTGACATTACCTGGTAGAATTGCAGTTGGCTTGGATGATTTATTGGAACAGATATTTTGTTCATACCCTAAGAACTGATGTAGAAATACTATAAATTATGAGTCATTCATGATACAACTCCCATGGATTGATTTAGAAGACTAAAATAGTTTTAAAAATATTTCTTTTATTACTTCCAAAAAAAAGAACTGAATATCCATACTTAAAGCATAGATATATAGAACATTAAGAAGGTTATGTGATGCTCTCAACCACATTCTAGCAGAAGAACTCAGACTCCCTAAACACACATCTTATTGTTTACATGAAATTGTCTTACTGGATCTGCTGATATCCTCCGGTTCTTGTTGAGAGCAGCATTCTTCCACCCACCAGATCTGGAGATGTAAGTCCTGGGAGGGACTTGAGGAGGCATGGTCTTGCTACGAGCAACTGGCTTCCCACTACTTTCTTTCTCAAAAATGCTTCTACCTTCCTTCCAACTCCAAGTGGCTTCTCTCAGAAGATCAGTATCATAAGTGGACTTGAGGTTGAGTCGGGTGATAGCATCATTGATGCCATCATAATCTACTGTGCTATACTGGTCTTCCTCCGAGATTCTACGACCTAACAATTTTCCATCAGCTCTCTCATGAGATGAGGAAAACATGTTGATATTATTGGCTTGGGGTCCTTTGAGGGAATCTTGATTTGCTTCAGAGGTGTTCCAGATGGTAATGCGAGGTGGCAGTGGGGGAGGAGAAAGCTTCTTGGGTGACCTACCACCATTGCTGTGCTGGCAGGGTGTACTATTGAGGGGATCATTGAGGAAGTCTCTCCCTGTGCTTTCAAAGATGTACAAATAGTCACTAGACAGAGGATTTTTCAACCAAGGTTGACTTTCTGCTTCAGGCATCAATCTGGATGAGGTAGTGTTGTTGGTCCCCAAAGCTCTTGAAACGTCTTGGTCAGAGAGCGCATTATAGTTGAGAGTTGAGTCTGAGCCAGAGAGGCCTCGCATGACCTTAATATTACGGCAGTCATTCCTTACAGCAGGTATGTTGTAATCCAGAATGGGATCATCCCAAGAAATTAGAGGTTGATCAGTGTTTTGCTTTGCCTGGTTCTCCTCCTTGTCTTGTCTCAGGCGAGACAGGGCATCATACTCCATCTGCAGGGCTTCTGCAAGAGCCAGCTCCTTACGGCTAATCCCCACAGACTCCAAAGATTGCCAGTGCTCTCCATTTCCTCTGGTTGCAGACATCTCTTGGAAAACAAATGCTGAAACCAGGGACTACTGGATGCTCAATTCAGGTTTTAGGAACAAAGGCATGCTGTGCCACCAGCCACCTGCAAGTGAAGAGACCAGAAGAACATGGCAATAAGAGTGAATTTCATTAATATCTGTCTGCATTACTGAAAGGTTTTCATATGTTTGATCAGCACTGGAGAAAACATGCTGCTATGGCTATCACAATCACCATTACCTCAGCTGAAAACTGAAACAGTCAACAAATATTTACCCTCCTAGGAAACCAATCCTGAATTATTATCTTCACATTCAGTAATTCATCAAGTAATTCAGGTTTGTAGATTTTTCCTGCAGAATATGATAAGGTATGTGATCCCAAGATATAGTAGACATTTAGGTGCTTACTATCAAGACAAAAAAAGCTTAGAAGTATTTATTGATTCAACCATAGATGAATTTAACAGTAAGCAAAGTAGTTTGCACATTCAGATTAAATGCCATCAACATTGTTGATGGCAACATCCATAGAAGACAAGAAAAGGACCTATTAAAAATATTTTAGCAGGACATGACTATAGTGGCACCATCTCTTTATATTTCTAGAGTTCAGAGACATATTTTTTCTGATATAGAGCACAAAAATAGTCACCATAACATATACTTCAATCTCTATGAATCGGTCTAATCTTCTCTTAAAAGCTTTTCAAGTTGCTATCATATCTTGAAAAACTGAATTCCATAATTTAACTTTATGCTGTTTGAATAAATATTATATGCTTGAAACCATAAATCACCAATTCATTTTTCCCATTTTTACCAAAATGTCCATAAGAGTTTTCTAGTCTTTTATGAAAGTACTTATTGCTTTATTCCTGATCAAAAAGATCAACTCTGCCATTTCTGCAGATTCCACCATCTTCACAATCTACTCCATTGTGGATATTTCAATATTCTTTCCATTTTTGTGCATATAATAGTCTCACTGCAATTACCATATACAAAACCAATATCCCCTAAGTCTTTTCTAATTGACTATTCATAAATCCAATAAAAACAGTTCTGTTTTCATCTGAATATTAATCTTTAAAATTATTTGCATCACGATGTGTATTTGTATCCATTTTTTTTATTTTTTGCAAGTCCACTATGCAAGTCTCTTCATGTTTTACATATTTCCAAGCACCTTTATATATTTTAGATAATTTCTATAGTCATATGTACCAATGATACATCCTTTTACAAACATTCTCTCTTAAATTGGAACACAATGTGAATTTCACTCCTCTAACATTGATCTATTCATTATGACCAAATTCTTAGCCAATTTTATCATGTACTTTCTAACTTGTTCTTCCATTTCAAATCTCAACAGAAATTTATACATTTTAGCAATCACATGTTCATCATCTGTACAATTCTATTTATTTTTTTATCTGTATAAAACTTTCCAGTCATTTCAAGGAAGAATAGAAATTATACACTATAAAAATGGAATAAAATTCCATTGTAAAACTTGTAAAACTTCAGATCTGCTGTGAGGACTAGCAAAAGCATGTGGTCTCAATCAGTATTCTGAAGCCTCAATTTTAGACGTATATATTATTGTTGTAAATATAAGGAAGTGGGGAACAAGTGTGCACTTTCAACTTCTTTTGCAGACGATAACACTGTAATAAATAGCAGATAAATAAGCACATCTGAAAATGTAAATAAATATATGTATGTGTTGCTCAATTTGTAGTAGTGGAAAATGAGATGAAGTTGTTAAAGCATGTGTTAAAAACACTTTATGGGAAGTCTGGCAAGGATTTAAAGAATTGGTTTGTTTTGCAGGTGTCAATGAAAGTATTAACTCCTTAGCCTTGTCAAGATATTCCATCAATTTACGCTCTAGGCACTTAATTAATAATCATAGTTGCTGTGATTAACATAAAAGGAAGGACCCACTTAACATTCTGTTAACACTGTTCTTAGGCAGTAACACAGCAACACATTAACAGCTCACGATTTAGAGGAAAAAAATACCAGCTGGGCAAATGAAGGCAACAAATGCTAAAACATGCACAAAATATGGCAAAGCCAAAGATAACTGATGTCCTGTGATGTCCTCTAAAATCCATAAAGCAAAGTGAAGTAAGGTGCTGGCTCTACACAAAGCAGAATAACTAAAGCTTATGCCTTATGAATATATAATAATAATATATATTTAATTAGGTATAATCAAACCATAGTATGATTTGTGTGGTTTGGGTTTAAGGGATTATATCAGGGGTGTCAAACTCGCAACGTCATGTGATGTGTCATGACGTATCGTGACTTTTTTGCTATTGCCGGCAATGGGGTGGGTGCGGTTTTGCTATGATGCATCTGGCCTGCGGGCCGGCAGTTTGGCACCCCTGGATTATATGAAACAGAAATTATAGTTTATAAACCATGGCTTATGACTTAGTGTGTTACATAAACCAGGTTTTTGTCTTAATAAACCATGATGAAAACAAGTCATGGTTAGCTTGATGTGTGAAGTCAACAAATAGAACTCACAGGGTGTTAAGAGTTGGAAAGCTTTCCTACAGAATGTCTGAATCAACCTCATTCTTTCTACTGAGTAAAATGGCTAACTCTGTTGCAGTAGGCTTCAGCTGATGAATTAGGAGCCAGTACCAAATTGCAGCTGAGGTAAAGTGGGTTGTTATGTCTGCAACATTAGTATCATAAAAATATAGGACACAGGGGGAGAGCCTTCTCTGTGGCAGCTCCTGCCCTCTGGAATGACCTACCCCCCCCCCGACCTACGTACAACTATGGACCTGCGCCTTTTTCGCCGAGTCCTGAAAACCCATCTATTTCGTGCGGCCGGCCTGGCGTAGTCTTAATTAGGTTTTAGTATACGTTTTTATATGGGGTATTTTAGAGCAGGCCTTTATTTATTTAATTTGATTTTAGAATAGATATTTATTGTGATTTTTATTATCTCCTGTTCACCGCCCTGAGTCCCGTAAGGGAGATAGGGCGGTATACAAATCTAAATAAACATAAACATAAACAAAATTTTGAACAGGGATCAAATGTGAGATTTAGATTTAAACAATTATACAGTGGAGAATTTTCTTGGTTGTTGAGAGCAGAGGAAAGAAAAAATGTTCCATTGTTCAATAATACAGATAAAATACTTCAGATTCCACCCTTGGCATTTTCAGTTGAATCAATCAGGTATCACTCTATAAAAAAGGTTTCAGAATTGCAACATACAAACAGCTAAAGATACTAAAAAATAAATGTTAGATAGTAAAAATGAAAAAGTAAGATTATAAATAATTACAAAGGTCCATGGCGACCCATATACAGTTAAAAATCAAAAAGCATAATAGAATAAATGTATATTTTCTGGCAGGGAAATGCCTATAAAATAGACATCTAAAGCCAGTGTGCTCTAGTGGTTAAGGCACCAGGCTAAAGACTGTGAGTTCTAGTCCTGCCTTAGGAAAAAAAGGCAAATGGGTGACTTTGGGCTCGTCAGTCCTTCCACTTTACAAGGTTGTTGGTGTAGGGAAAATAAGAGGAGCGAGGAACAAAGATGTTTACCACCTTCAGTTATTTCTAAAAATAACAAAGATGGTATAAAAATAAGTATCATGAGAAGGTCCATTCCTGAGTGATCACATTAGGGTGGATGGATGAATGGAGCAGATTGGAGAAAGAAATTTACCATGGATGGTCTTTCTTTCAAACAACTGTCATTCTAAGCCTGTGGTGGGCAATCTGTGAGTCCAGGGCAGTGGAAAGAACTGAGTTTCTGTCTGTGACCCCTTCTAGCCTATGCATAGGGTGCTGTTCGACAGAACAATAAGAAAGTAGCCACAGTTTGGTTTTATTAAACTGTAGGCTCCATAACTGAATTTATAATATCTTTTCACATCTGTGACTTTATACCACAAAAAAGGTGTTTTTAAATGTTTTATTCAAATATGGCTGCCCACTTTACACCTAGGACTCTTGGTGGCATAAAAAAGTTAAAACCAACAGTTTTGAGAATAACCCATAACACACAGATAAATTAGAGGTCCTTGGTACTCTCTGAGTTTGGCTGTTTTCTTGCAGATGTTTCATTACCCAAACTAGAGGGTAGTAGTGCTAGCAAGGAATGGAGTTTGCATAGAGGAAAAAACAGGAATCATCTACAGCATATTGTATAAAGACTACAACAGCCACTATGTTAGACAAACAGACAGAAGACTAGCAGAACGCATCCATGAACACCAACTAGTAGTCAGAAGACACGAAATTAAAGACACTCTTTTAATATCACATGATCATTAATCAGACTTAACTGGTTTAACTATGACCATCCCAGCCCAAGCCAAGTCCAAAAATGCTAGAGAATTCCTGGAAGCCTGGCACTTTGACAAATTAGCCATGAATAGACACATAAATAATTTCTACATACAGTGGAAAAGATACAACTGACAAGCCAAAAAGGGAACAAAAAGACCAAAATACCTCCCCACCAGCAATCAACACTCAGATGAGCATAGATTAACACCAAGATTAATATCAGACCAACAAACAAGAAGTAAACAATACCCCAATCAAGGAACTGCCAACAAACTAACAGTAAACAGTCCAACCAAAGAATCTCCAACACTGTTAGGGCAAGCCACTAGAATACAAATTGAGAGCAAACACCATTCCTTGCTAGCAGTGATAATGATAATGCTATTAGTCTGGGTAATGAAACATCTACAAGAAAACAACCAGCTCAGAGAGCACTAAAGACCTCACATTTCAATCATGAGCTACAAATAGTCTCCTTTATGGGTACACAAGGCAAACAATAACTCCCAATCATAAAGCTACATCAACAGAAGAACTCGCCTAGCCTTCAGGCTTCAGAGCCTGGGGACTTCAAGAGCCTTGTGAAAGGTTAATAGGTCAGGGCCATCTGGATCTACAAGGGGATGCAGTTCAAAATGCTGCAATATTCACGGAGTTTTCTAGCAAAAATGTTGGACCTG